TGTCCACAATAAAAAATTAAGAGCAGCACTGAATCACAACCAGCAGTAACTTCTGTTGACCCCAGTTACAGCTTGCAATATAAACATAGGTGGCAGACCAAAGGGGACTTGGAAAGCTCACGTTTTCTTTAAACAAGTATATCCTAGGACCCTGGAAAGGGAGATGTGTTTGTGAGCTGTTCACTCCAACGTGTCTCTGCGTGTTGTGCTGCGTTCCAGAAGGAAGCTGGTTTTCTGCAGAGGAAGAAGGAGCTGGAGCTGGAGCTGGAGCTGGAGCTGGAGCTGGAGCTGGAGCTGGAGCTGGAGCTGGAGCTGGAGCTGGAGCTGGAGCTGGAGCTGGAGCTGGAGCTGGAGCTGGAGCTGGAGCTGGAGCTGGAGCTGGAGCTGGAGCTGGAGCTGGAGCTGGAGCTGGAGCTGGAGCTGGAGCTGGAGCTGGAGCTGGAGCTGGAGCTGGAGCTGGGTGGGAAGCCTGGCCATTGTAGTTTCTTTATCACATAAAGTGGTATGTGTGTGAGTTCCCCTATGACAGAACAACTTTTTCAGTCTTTATTTTGGCAAAGTTACTTTGTAATTGTAAATTCAATTCTTTACCTTTCAGTCTGGGATGACTGTAAACTGCTTTCTGTTTCTTGAAGTAAGTAAGTGAGAAAAATTAAAGTTGCGCTGATGAACAGGGGAGGTAGTAAGTAGCAAAAGCCAAACTTCAGGCTCCAGGTTACCTGCATGAACCTAAGGTCTGCCTGATGGGTAAAATAAAGCCAAAGGGGGCAAGTTGATGGGGTTATAACAGCCAAGAACATATAACCCCAAATTATTCCTTTACAGAGAAGAAAAAAAAATAAAAAAGAGGTAGCATTTTGCCTCTTTGGGCTAGAAACCATGCAGGTAAGGTGGGGCCCCTTGCTCTGCCAAGGAGTGACTGAGCCCCAGCCTCCTTACCATTGCTGCAGGGATTGTATGGGAGCTATAAGCGCATTGCGTTATGCTTACCGTCAGCTGCTCGGCACCACAAGCCGAGGCCAGCCCGGCCCTGCCAGATGTTCCTAGAGACACCCCCTTCAGAGACAGCAACTGCCAAGGCAGAGAGGAGCTTGGCAAAGGATGCTGCTGCACTCTTCCCTCAAGTTCAAACCTCGCTACTGAGACAAAGCCTTTGGGGAATTTTCCTGGGTATTTTTTGTTTACTTAGCTTGTGGGAGTTTAATGTTTAATCATTACAGAGGAGTTAGTTGGTTAGTCACGTAATTGTTAGCCACGATTTTTGCCTTCTTTCCGTTTGTCCTTTGTTCTTCCTGATCTTAACTGTTTCATTTGGTGGAATAAACTGGCTGTCTATCACAGCCTGCTGGTCCTTGATTTCTCAGCAAACTAGCAGTTTTACAGCATTCGTAACAGTGTCTTAATTTCAACATCTCACATTAAGGGCATAGCACCCAGGGGCAGCTGCCACTAAGATGACTCCCTAACCTCAAAGGAGGGTCATACTTTTGCCATTGGGTTTCCCCAGAAGACAGGCACCGGTCTATTCTGGTACCCATCGCTATGAATATTGCCTCTCTTGCCAATCAAAGAACTATCTCAATACTGTTTTAAAGGTTCACTGAGGCAAAAAAACCATTGAAATTCCTCAGTCTCCTGCAGTGATACTTGCTGATTTTTCAAATGAAAGAGGAGCAAGAGGAATAAATGAAAGTGTAATTTGAAACAAAGGAACCCTTTGCAGGTGGAAGCTCCTTCTATCCGCTAGCCTCAAATTGTAAAATATTTTAAGAACTCTGTTTTAGAGAAGCAGGCTGGTTGATAAAGGCACCATTCCTTGCAACTGCATATAGCAGTCCCAGAGGGGATGTTCCTTAATGGCCAGGGTTGTGCCTCAGGGCAGCTCCTCTGGGCTGCACTCTGCGCAGGAAAAGAAAGAAGTTTCAGCTCCAACTTCCACCTTCTCCTTCCCCCCCACTCTGAGGGGGCACCAAGGCACCATTTCCTACACAAACTATCTGTTCTATTTTGCCTACCAGCCTTTCTTCAGAAATGCCAGATTTGGCTGTTATCTGCCACTCTGAACCACACTGTTACCCTTTTAACTGGGAGTCAAATTTTGTTAAGATTTTGATTACTTTTGCTGGTTAATAATTAATCCAAAGCAGTACCATGAGATGCTTCTCTTAGGTTCTTATTTCTAAGCATGAAAGATCCTTTTTAACAAAGCTGTAACTAAATAACTGCTATAAAAAGAAAGATACGCATCTTAACTGCCATCAAATATTTATTTTATCCCTTTTCCCTGCATCATCTCTAACTTACTGCATTCAAACCTTAATTCCTTTGTGTGTGTAGTTGTTCAAATGACATTATTTAAAATCTACAAAGGTATTTTCATAGCATTGAGGTCATTCCCATTCAGACAAATGGCCCATACCATTACATTTGCTTTTTAATCTTTCTGTGAGTTTGATAAGCCTAGTAAATGATGGAAAGAATGTCATTTTTTTTTATTTCCCCAAGACAAAATAGGATTGATAGAATCAGTCATCGTCTCATTATTCGTAGCAGAATTGCACTCAGTTATAAAAACAAAAACTATTGGAACATTTCGTAGCCTAGCTGCCTACAAAATGATAGCCAAAAAACCCCTCAAATGTCACAGTGCAGCCCAATATACCTTTTGGAAATGTTGTCATTCCAGATACCAGGGGAAACAAAAACCCAATTCAGTTACCATGGAAATAGGGTTTCTACCTGCGGAATATAAAACATGTGGCTACTTAGATAAATTATTGTCGGATGAGCCCAGTAGCTTGATGGCAAAAGTAGCATTCAGTATGAAAAAAGTTGACAACATCTTTCTACTTTAAGGATAACAGATTGCATGGAAAACAGAAGCCAACACTGCCATTGGTTTAGTAGAGACGCAGATGACGTAGCAATACATTTGTTTACCCAACCCCTTGAAGCTATTTCTACAACCAGCGGAGCTGGTTTTAGCAAGAGTGGAAAATCTGTGGGGAAGAAAGCAAATGCTGAAAAGCCAGACAAGCTGGAGAAATCCAGTTACTGTGTATTTTCCGTTAAATAATTTTCAGCAGTAGTTCAATTTCATCCATTTTCAGCCATGACTGTATTCCTTGATGTCAACAAGGTGGCACTGGAAAAAAAATTATTATCCCCTAAACCTACCTTGGGAGCTAATAAGGAGAGGCCACTATTGCCACTGTACCATGTGGTGGGTACTGTCTGTGCCCCTGCCGATTGTG